GAGGATAATATCACAAGCTACCCAGCAGGTATAAAGTAGGTCAATCAACCTTACCAGCTTCAAAAGTGACGTGATAAACACATTATTGCACCAATAACTATGATTCAGTATTGTGAAATGTACCATTCTGAATAATGAGTACTTTCACTTTTGGAATCTTGAGTATATATTTAGATGCTAATACTTTTGTGCTAGACTTCTGCAAGGACTTTTATGTATGACTTTTCTTTTAACAGAGTCTATTTATAGATATAGATTGTTTACATGATTATATTATGTATGAATTCTTTAGTGCTGTTAAGTCTATGTATATAATATATATATAGCAGTGGGGAAACATAGACACCAACATCACTTAAGGAGTCCTAATGCACAATATCTGTTTCATTTGTGACGTAAAATCAGTGCATATAAACCACATAGCAGACATGACCTACCTTTCACACACATCAGTAAAAGCAGACCTCTACACATAACATAAAGTGAATGAACAACCATATGTGCTGTATAACGTGGATTAAATTTCCAATCTCCCTCCTCTTGGGGGCGCTCTCAGCTCACTGTAAACCCACATGCTCTCTGACAGGAAGTCATCCATCAACTTGGAGAAACATTTTCCCCAGGAGAGGCACAAGTTTTCAAAGCTTTCAGTCTATCTGGAACATTTACAGGTAAAGCAGAAAAAATGGAGGGTGAATTCGGGGATTAACTCGTTGACCGTATTCACAGACTCAGCAAAAAAACAGCAGCTTCAATAGCTCTGCAGTTGTCTGGTGATTATCAGTTCAACCTCAGCTTATCAATGTTTGGCACAGATACAAGTAGTTATGTAAAACTCTGGTAATAAATGACTGAGTGAGCACTTCATAACCTTATTTGTCGCAGTCCAGTGGATTACAATAAACCCTCAAAGGAGCTGTGTGTTACTTTATGTACTGCTTTGGTGCTAAATATGCAAAATTTGGTTTATTTGTTTGTTCAATTCTACTCTGAATGTGCAAAATTGTGGCTAACTAGAGCTTTAAAATAAATGTGGTTAAATCCAAAGTAGAAAGTAGCGCAATATGGAACGACAAAGTTGTGTAGATGTACTTTGTTGCATTGCACCACTGGTACAGGCGTATGAGGTGTGGGTGCAGCTTGTCACTTCCGCTATGAACCAAAATACCACAAGTGTCTCATATTCAGGCCGAGGTGTTTCATAGTGTGAGTTCTCCTTTTTCTGTCTGTCACAGGTAGTTAACCAACTTCAGACGGGCCACCATCTGGAGAAGAGTCATCCCACGAGGGTCACACACAGAGAAGTGAGAACCGGCTTGTCAGGCAATCCATAAATGGCACTTTAAACCTCCCCACATCAACTTTTTAAATGTCAGTCTTATTTAGGATGCGGTGCGTCATATAGAGATGGGTGACAAATAACGGAAAAGCCAAGAAAAAATGTCTTTGTAAGGTTTAGGGCTTCAGCTTCAGGTTCCCTCCGGCTGACTACACTTGACCTACAAAAACCGCCTGACACGACCACCACAACAGGTTGATAGCTAGACTCTTCTCCTCGAGCTACCAAACTCTGTTCAATCTGCTGACTCCCTCTCAGTCTTTAAGAGGAGACTAAAGCTCTTCACTGAACACCTTTGCACTTGACAGCCTGAAAACTCATCAACGCCCTTTCACACTCTAACTTGTTCTATGGCACTTATCTAGATTGTTATCTCCTGACCACATCCTTGCTTGTGTTGTATCTGCTCTCAGATGTATGTCGCTTTGGGTAAAAGCGTCTGCTAAATGAAATTGTAGAATTGTAGCTTCCCAGCACCGCGGCACTGATTCATCCGATCTCTAAAACTCTACTTGGAAGAATGAATATTTCCAGAAGATATTCCCTCATTTGGTGTTTTGATGATGGTGGCAGAAAGCGCTGATTAAGACATCAAGTATGTTCCATCAGTTGGGTTGAGATCTGGTGACTGTGGAGGTCATGATCGAAGGGGCCACTCCCATCAGGATAAATATATTTAATCAGTGAATAAAGCTGATTGCCCAGAATAGCTTTGTATTGATATGCAGTGAACCTTCCCTATGAGTAAAAGAAAAGGACTCAAACCATGCAGAAAAATGTTCCTTACAGCTTAACATGGCCTCCATCCACAGTGTGGGGCTCAAGTTTTTCCATTAATTCGTCACCCTACTGTATATCACACTTGTTCCAGCTCTTTATCGAAGCTATTGCACTAAGTTAAATACTTAAACCCAGATACACCATCAAATATGTTACATTTCTTCTTCTTTTAACACATTTACACATTTGTTTTGTAATGACCGACCTGCCAAAGTATAAGAGGTCAAATCAAGCTTCCAGGGGAGAAACAGCGAGTACGGTTATAATATGATTTAAATATTAACTAACATGGCCTGCCTGTGCTTGAAAAGGATTGTCATTTACTCACATAAATACGAAATTTGAATGTATGTAACAAGTGTGAAAGATCTCAAGGCCGTAACCTTTATATTAGCTGGAGACTTTTGGAGAATCTAGCCAAGCCAACCATGCCCATATTGCCAAAAGCTTAAACACTCATATCTTCATACACAACAAGATTTAGGTTGCTAAAGGTCAAAATGACATAAATACAACTTAAAGGAAACAAATCTGATGATATTTTCATGTCCTCCGTCTTTTTGACAAGTTAAAGGCAATACAATTTTCCCCTTAGATAATCAAATTATCTTGTCTAAATCAAGTAAAAAAAAACACAACTCTTGTGTGGTTACGCCCTGCTGCAGATAAGTGGTTGTGCTGTTTCGTAAGATCCTCCAGCTCAACGATCCCCGCCCGTAAAAATGATGAATCGTGATTGTGTTTTACTCCTCAGGTGAAACTGTTGCATTACCTGAAGCTGTGCACGCTACACGAATGGGCGTGTTGGACTGGGGATATCCATGAATGACTAATAACTGTGTTTGAGTCCGTTGCTTTGGCGATATTTGCCAACTGTGGTCAACTTTGTGAGTCACTGACACTGAGAGGTTGTGTGATGTTGAAGAGAATTAAGATTTCTAGACAGTATACAAGACTTTTTGCCCTTAACAATGGACCATCACCATAAGCAATATAACATACGACATTACAAAATACAGATTTTATTTTGATAGTATGCATCACGACAGCATGAGGAAACATTAGAAAGGAACTTCTGGTACAAATATGCAAATTAGAAAACTGAAGGAGTTTATGAAACAACAAAAAGAATATAACAAGACAGTCAAGCAACATAAGTATTACCAACTCTAATTAAGCCGCTGCATTTACTTTGAGATTTAATCAAGTTTCCATTCTTTTTATCAAGTTTCCGTTCTTTTTTTCCTCTTTTGTGGTTGTGTCAGAGGGCCGGGCTAAGCCCGCCACAGCCCTGTGGCAGGAAATGTCTCGTGTGCATGTGTGTGTAAGCGAGAAAGAGAGAAAGAATTTGTGTGTTTAGGGACGTGCTTCTCTTTGCATCACTTGTCTTTCCGCCTCCCGTTCAGACGCGTTTTGTCTCAACTCCAGCTAACGTCATGAGGTAAGTCTGAAAATGGGTTTTTAGTTTTGCACATTTTGTCTGGTTTGTTCTGTCTTTGCTTGCACTTTCCCTCTGTTTGTTTATCACATTCCTTTTACTAAAATCAGTTGAGGAATCTCACACGGGGACAATGAAGCTTCAGTCTGTCTGGCAGCCACCGTTACACTCAACTCTATTCTCTTTCCTGTTATACAGGAAGCTTGGCATTCACATAGGTTAAAACCCATTTCTAACAAGTATATTTTAGCATTATTATGATGCTGTGTTTCTTCTCTCGCTGCCCTTTTGTTTCTCGGTCTTCTCCATTTCTCCCTCTCTGCATCACTCTGGCTTGATTTCAGCGTCTTAATCTCATAAGCGTACACTGTATACACACCGTATCTACTGATCATCAATTGGCAGATTGCTCTCGGGTCTCTCCACCCCTGCTGCTCTGTGCTCCCGCATATTGTCTGCTCTCATATTTCTATCTGCTTAACGGCGCATGAATGGCGGATTGGTTCAGTGACCCCTGCAGCCTATCTGTGACCTTGTGTCTCCATCTAAACTCCTGTTTCTCTCTCTGTCTGCTGCACTTGACGCTCCGGTGGACAAGGCCAAGAGGGCTTCTGTTTTATCTTCTTGGGCTGACTTGTTTTCTCTTTGGTGACATTATCCAGCCTCACCTTCGAATATATTTCCTTTCACTGTATCCCTGGTGGGAGATTAGATTATAGAAATTATTAAAATTAAACTTTAAATTACATTGCATGATACGGAAACAGCAGATCGCCCAAATGAGAAGCTGAGTATTAAATTAATTAAATGATCAACTAACCGTAAATTAAAGAGAAAAAAAGTACTTTTAATATTTCTGAAGTTTAATTTCGGGGAGAAATACTCGCTAACAACTAAAGAGTGTACTAACATTATTTAGCGCATATATTTTAGATTAGTTTCATCATTTTAAACATGTATAATGCAATAGACATGTGAATAAATAATCATAAACAGTGACAAATAATTATAATAAATGAAACTGAGTAAGTTTATGCATCTGCGCCAAAAAAGCTGTGAAGGGCGGGGCCTTAGCTTATGCACCTACAGTTTTTGCATTTATTATTTTGTGAAGATCTGTTTAGATTTATTCATGGAATTTTATATTTATATCCAAAAGTCCCAACAAAAATTCTAATACCAACTCCTGTTTAGTCCTGAAGTATTTTTTAAAAATCTATATGTCTGTACCTTCGTATATTAATAGTTTGACATCGATTTATAATAGTACATGCAACTGAAATTTTAAAAAACCAAACACTTAGTATACTTTAGTACGGCAAACTAGTATTCACATGTAATTCTAATCAAAAATAAACCAGAAATGTCATAACTTGACCAACAGCTGTCTAAAAGTTCATTAAAAATACAGCCTTTACAACTCTGCACGCTTGTAAATTAGTTGAGATACCATCAGTTATGTGAAACATTGCCACAAAATCAACACCAAAGAGCATGTCACGGGAAAAAAAACAATGTTGTGGCGAGAACACACTTCTGGCATTGTAAGAAGTTTGCATCTTCAGCCAGTAGGAGTGGATCATGTTGGGTCCTGTCTTGCTCTTCAGGTATAAAGAGCTCAACTCCTTGGATGTCTGTCCTGGTGATGATGAATGGTTTTTGTTCTGGGAGGCTTCTGTGGTCTGCGCTTGGCATTGTTGTCGTGGGACGCCTCTTTGTCCCAGATGTTCAGTGTTGCTCAATCTCAGCTTTGGATGGATCTACCCTTGTGGTGTTGGATCTTTGGAAAACATGCCATTTATTTTCTCGGCTGCTGCTTCTCTTCAGCCTGAATGCCAGAGCTGTTTGTCTCCTACTCATGCCACAGCGCCTTCATTGTCCCTGCTGTACCATTCCATACATTCCATCTTCATCTCTAGTCCATGCATGTCTGGTTCCAGTTCTTTAGCATATCCTGAATAGATCTAGATATTCCAGGTGACATCGCTATCTTAGCCATAGTAACTTAGATTTGGGAGTTGATAGATGAACTAGTGATAGTGGTGCAGGGTTGGTTGAAAAAGAGAGAGAGAGACTCGGAGTCACTATCAGAGCACATCTCAGGCCTGTGCCGTGAAAATGGCTCCTCTCACACTCGTCTGTCGTCGTCGCCATTTGTGGGCAAATGACAGCCGGAGATTGAGGTAAAGAAAGAGTGAAAAGATGGAGGAGCTCGCCCTCGCAGTAATTATCGACTTGGTGTTTAGCTTTAGCCCACGAACCAGGAACCCGACTCTCCCCCTCCCCCCACACACGGCGTCCTGTCCGCAGGCCGCAGGTAGGCTTTCATCACTTCGGCTCTGGTTACCTCCCACATATAAGCTAACCAGGCCAGGTGAGCTCAAACACTCGTCCACGCCAGACCTCTCGATACCTTACAACCTCGCACACACAACACACACACACTCCAGTGGGCACGCAGAATGGAGCCGGACTCAGACAGCATGCCGGAGGTACCAGAGGAGATCATACAGTTAAGTGGACCAGGGCTTTTTTTTTCTTCTGTGCCTCCTTATTTACTCTTAAAGTGGCTGTCCAAGCATTGTAACCTTAACCCCCCGAAGGCCTCTGCATGTACTTGCCTCGGGCCTTTTCTCTATTCCCTTGCCCCTTTTCAGCTCCTCTCTACCATTTTTTATGCGTTCAGACTTTCTGTCGCACGGTGACGTTCTTGTGTGGTCAGTAAACAACACCCGTTTGTGGGTCACAGTTTACAAAGCCGATAGTGTCATCAGCTGAAGCAGTTACGACTGGTTTAACTGTGGCAGCAAAACTGAAACATAAACTACATTATGATAGCTTTCCCAGAAAGTGTCATATATCTTCCACGCAGTTACACTTATATGGCTGTCACAGTTCACTGCAAAAGCGTCACAACCCTCGTAAATCTGCCGGGCTTTTTCTTATCAAGGAAACCTCAGCAGGTTGGTGTCGCTGCAGCATGGATCAGGCTTTGAATGTTTGTTATAATCAAGGAAAAGCCTTTGATCAATAGCAGCAAAACGGCACATATATGTCACCGCCATTATGCATTAAATAAGTTAGAATTAGATATTAGTTGTTCAGGGGAGTTTTTCTTCCATCATCTGGTGCAGAAGACAAACATTCATTGCCTGATTGAGAAAAAATGTTCCCCTGGAAACAGCATAAAACACTTCAGCTACTCCTCTTGGTGATCCAAATGGAAACACAGTAGCTCACTTAAGGCAAACAACTGTCCATTAAATCACATTACACGAACATGAATCCCATAATTAATAGCTCTCTCTCCATCTCCTGAAGAAGGCCAAGAGTTGCGTTGCAGATCTTGCAAGTGGACGTCCAGTATTTATTATTTTGTAAAATCTAGTCAATTAGTCGATTCTTGACCTCGGAAACAGTTTTAAGCTCTTTGAAGGCTGAAACTACATGGACCTTAGATTAAATACAAGTTGGTTTTCTCCTCAAACAACAATAATTCTGAGTGTTTAATCTTGACTTTGGAAAGAGTGTCTGCAGTAAAACTTTCCATTTTCTCAGCATCCTGGATCTTTCAGTCCCATCTCAGGGATTTCTTAGTTATTAGGAAACAGAAAAACACAAATTATTCTAGCTGACGTGCTGAACTGAGCTAGGAACTGTAACTGTTTATCTGTCACAAATTGTACACCAAGCAGTTAATCCATCAAATCAAAAAATACCCCCTCCCCAACCAGTAAACCTATAAGAGCGTAAATATCTACTGCAATGAGCCCATACATTAAAAAAGTGCAAGGACACAACAAAAAAGGTGCATATAGATAAGTAAAATGTTAATAAAAGAGCTAAGTCCGTGTGAAACCAGCTGACTATAAGAGCGGGAAAGAGAGACGATAGTTTAATTTGTGTTGAAACTGTTACAGAGAGGCTTTTGTCCCAGTAGCTTTCCCTTTCTCTAGCAAGCCTCCTTTTTCAGCTTCCCTGCAGATTTGAGCAAAAAGTCTTATCAAATAACTGCATTTCTGAATCGCCATGAAAGCAGTAGAAGGTGTTTCAATTTTGACTTGCCACAGGACCTCATAGCGGGTCACGGGGTATGAAAATGAAAATAAAAGCAGCAGAAGAGATTCATAAGTGTGTCAGCTGAGTGGGAAAGGTGATAAAAAAAAAAAAAAAGCCAAAGAGTGACTCGACAAAGTTCACCCCTGGCTTGTTCTCGCATGTGATTCAGCTTGCGTGGAGCCACACCTGTTTTTTTTTTTGTACAATGATACCTATGTGTTAGCCCACCTGGTGTTGTGTTGCATAAAAGTAACGCAATGTAGCCCAGGCTCTTTAGGCAGCAACACAAGCCCTCATTTCGTGTCGAGCCCAAGTGTAATTGCGCTCGTCACTCTGACTACATCCTCCAGTCTGTCACTCCTGAAGGGATTGTGGTTTGTGTGTGTGTCGAATTCAGTTAAATCGCCTTCAGTTACATGTAAGCAATTCGGCTTTCGTTGAGTATGGAGAGCAGCGGAAGTGTGTGGTTGCGGGAACTTTAGTAAAAAATGAAGCAGTTGACACCCGAGCCTGGTCGATTTTCGAATCTGGTAATCGGCATTTTTCTGATCAAAACTTTTCTAAATCGTTTCAAAATACTCTCTTTAAAAGGATCTTGTGAAGCTGCCTCTCTGTGTCTGTAGTCAGCTCTCTGTGGTCTTGAGCAATGCCCCACCCACGGGCCTGTCTGATTGGTTGCACATCTCAAGTAATAGTCTGTCAACACTGAAAGATAAATGTTGAAAAAGTGTCTTTTTAACTATCTATTTTTCTGTAAATACATACAACTTCCAAATCTTGGTGGCTATCTTCTCGATTAATTAGTGTCTGTTCTTAAAATCATCCTTGTTAGAAGTTACACAGATTTTAGGTAGAAGTAAAAAAAAAACTAAAAAAACTAGTGACATAGCTCTTGCCCAACACACCATGGGTTTAACTTCTTCTTGCACTTCTTGTTATTCAAACCACAAAACTGGACATCTATTCCCAGATGCAGACACTGATGCAATGCCACGTATTTACACTTCCTGTTTCAGCCGGCCTCTTCCATTCCCGTGGGAGAGGATTCACTCATCTGACTAATTTTCCAAACCACCTACCTCCACTTTTATCTTACTTCCCTGTTTCTTTTCTTTCCTCCATGCAGCATGCTCCCCTTCCAAGCGGCGCCGGGTCAGTTCGGCCCAGATGTCCGGTTGCCAGGTCTGCGGGTGTGGAGGGTGGAAAAAATGAAGGCGGTGTCGCTGGATTCATCCGAGGTGGGAGCTTTCTATAATGGAGACTCCTATCTGGTGCTGGAGAACCGTGGTGAACAGGGAGCTGACCTCCACATGTGGATAGGTGAGAGACACATCTGGGTTTTATGGTGTGGATCTGTCATGAGGGGAAGAATCAGATCTCTGTGAATTAAAAGAATGATAGTATGAAAGCCAAACACTTCATTTTAAGTTTATATTTATTGTTCTGTTTGTATTGCTTGCTCTCCATTGATTCCTCCCCCAATCCTCACTGTCACCGGTCAAGGCAGATGGCTCCCTTCCCTGAGCCTGGTTCTGTCAGAGGTTTTTTTTTTCCCCCTTTCCCTATTAAGGTTTTTTATTTTTAGTTCCCTCCCACCATTGCAGAAATCTTGCTCACAGGGAATCCAAAAGCTATTTTGGAGTGTTGGGTTCTCTGTTTACCTTACTATGTTAAGTCCTGTGAGATGACATGTGATGTGAATTTGCGCTATATAGAAAAATGTTTAAGTCACATGGAGTTGAAATACCAGCATAATCAGAATTAGAGGAGACAAAATAATCCTCTTAAAGTCAAAACCTCTTGACTTGCAAAGGAAGAAGTGGTGCCTTTCTTGTTTCTATTTTACCCTGCAGTACGAAAGAGCCACCCATTGTCTGGTGCTCGCTGCACACCTAAACCTGGCTCAGCGCTGTGGCTGAAAGGCTAATAACCCTCCTAACTAATGGTGATGACACATGAGACACAGCGCTGACCTGCCACATCATTGTGTGGGGAGAAAGGCTGGATGGAGAGGGATGGAGAGATCATGAGAAAGAGGAAAAGAGGTCCTGAGGGAAACGGGGATGGTTTTTGAGCAGGGTCCATTAAAAATGCAGGAGGACTGTTACAGTACTCAAATGTGGCTGTTGTTTCCAGCATGTATCCGGTGCTTAGGTAACACTAAGCTGATTGTCACAGCTTGGAGAGCACTCTCTTTGCTCACGCATGCATCTCTCTGAACCTTCCAACCTCCTCCACTTGTTTACAATCGATGAAGCCCGCGTTATCTTTTGTGCGTTTGCTTTTCATCTCTAGAAATATCATTAGCAATTAAAGGCAAGGGGAAGGCTAGAAAGTGTTCATTTAAACAAAGCATTCAACAAGTTTCTTTCATCGTTTGCTCTTTCCTCTGACGAGTGATTCTCTCTCCTGCAGGTGAGAAGTCGTCTCGGGACGAGCAGGTGGCGTGTGCCATGCTGGCCACCCAGCTGGACAACTTTCTGGGCGGTGACCCCGTCCAGCACAGGCAGGTTCAGGGCTTTGAGACCCCAGAGTTCATGGAGCTCTTCCCCAGAGGGGTCAGCTACAAGGTGAGGAATGAGGAGAGCCCTGGTTCTTGAGGCCACTGCAACACATGTTTGGATGCTTGGGAAGTAGAAACAGCACTAAGATATGAGATAGAGCAATTTCTCAACAGAGTGTAACTGTTGTCAGCCCAACTTAGGTGCTCAGTCGGTGCTGCTTTATTTCACCAGTAAACCGTTGAATAAGAAAAATGTTCCTGCAAAGAACGAAGCAGATTGCTGTTAATTATAAGACAAAAACCTAGTTTACACCCGAGTAAATATTAATTTGATTGTTCATTTGTTTCTGGCAATGTTTTCCTGCATAAACACTGAATTTTATATCAGTCAATCAAGTTCAAGTATGAATTAATCGAAATTGCGGTTAACCAATTAATTAATTATTATTATTGAATGTCCTAAGAATTTAAATTTATTTAAGAATTTTGGATCTTCAAATCAAAAACAAGCATTTTTTTTTAGACATAAGGTTTGCATCCAGCAGAAATTTAACTGTGAAACTGGATGAAAAATTTGCACGTCTCACATTTTATCTTGCTTCGTTTTATGACTAGAAAAGTCTCTTATCATATTACAGCATCAGCTGTATTACCACCTCTGTGGCAAAGTGCATTCACTCTGTCGCTCTTTTACGCTGAATTGGGATGTTAAAAAATAAGAATGTTAAAACTTAGCATTTAAAATGTGTTCATTTAAAAAAATGCATAATGATTTTGCCCTTCTCTTTACAGGAGGGTGGAGTGGAGTCCGGCTTCAGGAGGCCTCAGGGCAGTGGGACGGTGCAGAGGTTGTACCAGATCAAAGGGAAACGCAATATCCGTGCCAAGGAGGTGGAGCTGTCCTGGAACAGCTTTAACAAGGGAGACTGCTTCATCCTTGACCTTGGAGAGGTGACATAATCCACACATAGCTGCAGCCAAATAAAGCTAAAAGTCATACGTTTGCTTTTAATGTGATGGAGCTAATGGGTGTACCACAAAATAACTTAAGCAAAACAAAAATGCGTCCACGATACGCCGATCTGATTGTTGACTCACTGCCCTGCAGACCATCGTGTCATGGATCGGATCACAGGCCAACATCTTCGAAAAGCAGAAAGTGCGTGAGATCGCCTCGCTGATCCGTGACACAGACCGACATGGGAAAGCTCGTATCGTGCCCACCAGCGAGGGGGAAGAGCCAGAGGAGATGCTGAAGGTGAATAATTTGTATTATTATAAGGTCACAGTGGAGAAAGAATTCTCATGTGTAGAGAACACAATACATATGACTTCTACGCTCTCCAGGTCAACATTTACAATCAAAACTAACCGGAATCAAGTCAAGAAATCTTTTTGCACGTTTGAAACATTTCCTGTGGTGAACAGGTCTTGGGACAGATGCCACCGCTGGCAGAGAGCACGCCAGAGGAGGACAGTAAAGCAGATGCTTCCAACTCTGCCTCCCTCTACAAGGTACCTTCATCAGCAGAACATTAAAAAACAGCACTGATGTTTGAAACCACCATCATCTACTGTTCTTTGCTTAAAAATTCACAAGGTCTTCATATATATTGTGAATTGGCACAATACAAAAAATTTATATATATAGCTTAAAAATAAAAAAATAAAACTCGTCTGCATTCACTCCATAGGTGTCCGATGCGACAGGTTCCATGACGATGACCAAAGTGTCAGAGAAAAGCCCATTTGCCAAGGATCTGCTTGTCCGTGACGACTGCTTTATTCTTGACAATGGCGCCAACGGAAAGATCTTCGTCTGGAAAGGTGAGGAAGTACTACTTGACCCCGAACCAGCATAGTTGCACATACTGAAATGCACACTGAGGAAAGCGATAGTTGTTAGATGCCACAGATATTCGATATCTAATGAAATTAAATTTTCATGAACATGGTGAAAAATAATGATTGAGAGTTTGACAAGGAGGTGAGTCATGGGATGCACTTAGATGTCATGAGCGTACGAATTTCTGCAAGAGCTCCAGCAGGACGCACGATACAACTCTATATCGTCCACAAATTATTATAGTAGCGATGGTGATGGATTGTCTGTTTTAAAGTAAATGTTAAGTAAGTAAACCACTTTTAAATTGACCCAGAAAAAAACATGGATGTGACAAAAATGCTTGTAGGGCGCCACATTTAAATTTGTTTGTTTTCTGTCATAGCGGAACAAACACAGCACCACGTCTTCACAATGGAATACTAGGGAAAAGTTGAACTTCCATGTTTACAGTGTGTTTTTATCTCTGCAGGAGCCCATAGATAAACTCTGACATGACTGTTATTAGCATTACTGGGTAAAGAGTCAAAGAGTTTAGACATATTTATGGATGTCCTACATAGCCATAGTTTTTCCAACATAACATGTGCTTACGGTGCATACTTGGGCTACAGTAAGCTCACATGACACTAAGATAAGAAAAATTAAAAGATGTAAAAGATACAGTATAAAATGAAATAAATAAGTGTACATCCATGCATCCATTATCTATACACCGATTAATCCTCACTAGGGTCGCGGGGGGCTGGAGTCTATCCCAGCTAACTTAGGGTGAAGGCAGGGGACACCCTGGACAGGTCACCAGTCTATCACAGGGCCACACTTAGAGACAGACAACCAAGCTCACTCACATTCAATCACCAATTAACCTCAACATGTTTTAGGACAGCGCTGTTGCCTCGCAGCAAGAAGGTTGCCGGTTCACGTCCCGATGGGGGCACCGCAATCTTTCTGCGTGGAGTTTGCATGTTCTCCCGTGCAGCGTGGGTTCTCTCCGGGTTCTTCCTCCCACACAGTCCAAAAACATGTTGAGGTTAATTGGTGATTCTAAATTGTCCGTAGGTGTGAATGTGAGTGTGCTTGATTGTCTGTCTCTAAGTGATAGACTGGTGACCTGTCCAGGTGGACCCTGCCTTCACCCTAAGTCAGCTGGGATAGACTCCAGCTCCCCCATGACCCTAGTGAGGATAAAGCGGTGTATAGATGATGGATGGATGTTTTTGGACTGTGTGGGAGGAATCTGGAGAACCTGGAGAGAACCCACGCTGCATGGGGAGAACATGCAAACTCCACGCAGAAAGATCCCGGGTGTCCTCACCAGGACGTGAACCAGCGAACTTCTTGCTGCGAGGCAACCGTGCTAACCACTGCTCCACCTTGCAGCCCGTAATTAACATCAACTATGCTTTTTTTTTTTTTCTTGTTCACCAAATATTTCCAGCTCAGCAAAGGTCAAATAAAACAGAACATTTAAACTCCACACAGAAAGATCCTGGGTGTCCTCACTGGGACACGAACTGGCGACCTTCTTGCTGCGAGGCGACGGTGCTAACCACCAAGTCACCTTGCAGCCCAATTAAGTGTACAAACAAGTTTAAATCATAAGTTAAAGAATCAGTAAAAGTGGCATAAAAACTGCCTAATTAAAAGCAGTGAATAGAAGAACAGCCTGGAGCTTCGTTTTTAAAATAGCCACAGTTAATGCGTATGTAAGTTTCAAGAGGACCATTTGTCATTTGTCACACACAAAATATAAAGGATGAGAGCATGCCTATGAAAAACAAAAACTGGACCTGATTTAACTTTGGTTACCATCTCCTTCAAAGTCGTCTCCTTGTGCAGTAATACAGTGCTTCCCTGTCCTGCGACGTTGCAGTGCTCCTTGGGAGTCTAATTCAGTGTTTTAATTGACATCTGTGATGAGTGCTGAATCTGTTGAACTGTGTCAAAACGGTTCAACTTGAAATTAATTTGGAACAAGAGGAAGATGTCGCAGGCAGTGGTCACAAAATCACACAGGGCACTGGAACCCCCTTTTGTCTTTGTGCTGAATGTTCTCCCTCAGGAGGTTACAGTAGAGCTCTGCTCTGACAGTCCAACCTTGGGCGATCAATCCTGGTGCACAATTATGAGAATTTTGTAGAAAACAACAAACATCCTCCTGCACTCCTCACCCGATGTGCCTTTTGAAACTGTGGCTTCTTCCACTGTAAAACTGCTGCTTCTTCTCTTGGTGGCAGCTGCAAACCCACCTCTCATCACCAGTAGTGACTCTTGGTATGCAGGCTGGGTCATCCAAGCTGCTGACTGACACAGAATGTAATGTTTTCTTTTCTATTCATTGAAGTCCATGAAGAACTTACAAATTGCTGCTACCACTGGTCCCAAAAACGAATGCAACACTGTTCCTTTTTGCTAATAGCATGGTGTCATGCGACATTCTGACTCATAACAGTTATTGTTGGCACATGTTGTGTGCACATGAACACCATAAACAGTCTTTAAACCGTCTGTCCAACCCTTGTATACACCTTTCCACTTAGTTCCAGAGGACACTGGGTGTTTCTAACGAAATTAGGTTTTATAATTCCAATTTAGACATAAAATATAATGGTTTTACACATTAATTGAGCAAAATAAGAAAACTACTTCAACTGGAGGATGCTCTCGCTCAGACGATCCTGACAACAGCTGAAATCAGGTTGGATCTATTTCAAAGGTTGCAAAACAGGGACAGTGTATTGTAGCAGGAGTCAGCATCATCCTATCTGCCTGTCAGTATTCATTGTAATGCTGATGTTTCATTTTAAAGCTGGTGCCAAACCTACATCATCGTGCATCCCTGACTACCATCTCTGTTTGCTGCTGTATACTATATGTAGGCCGATCTGTTTTAGTGAATTGAAAATCACACATCAAACACTGAAAATGCTGCACCTTATACTAAAATCAATTGATGCAGTTCCAAATTTCTGAGCTCAACAAATATTCCTTGAACATCTTAAAACATTTTCACTTTGAATAAAAAGCATTTTTGCAAATTCTGTGTTTACAATTGGTCAAATCAGATTATTCTTACAAAAACAGCAGCGACACAAACTACAGATGTATTGTGTATGTGTGTGTGTGTTGTACAACATGTGCGAGTTTTCTTTTATCAAAGGTCACGTGTCAAACTAAGTTTTTCCTCCCAGATTGCCAGTTTTGTTCAACTTAACTATACTGATACTGCTTTAATCACACATGGTTATACATTTTTATTACTTTATTTTTTGTAATCTGAGTATGTAATCCCAGCTACATGCAATCCATTACTATCCAGCTGTGGTAATACATTCAGTATGGTGGCGCATAGCGGGGAACTCACAGTTTATGACCTAGCGTTTGGAAAACAAACAGTGAATCTGATTTATGTAACAGCTATTAAACATCCGCACTGATGCCATTTAATAATTAACCATCAGGCAATGGAGCAAATGCAGAAGAGAAGAGAGTGGCCCTACAGATGGCAGACAGCTTCATCGAACAAATGAAGTACCCCAGGATGAAAACACAGGTAACATTTGCTCAGAATAAACCAGTGTTTTTCCAGAATATAGTAGGAAATGGCTGGTACTTAGATAAACATTACAATAAATACTGCTTCTCTGTAAGCTTGCAAACCATCACAGCAGCTTGTTATGGTTTCCATTTGATCATTTACAGGTCTGGACTATCAAGTGCAAGTCATTGAACTTTTTATTTGCTCTGTGCTGCAGGTGGAAATTCTGCCACAAGGGAAGGAGACCATCATCTTCAAGCAGTTCTTCACAAACTGGAACTAAACATTTCCTGGGACGAATCCTGCACTCGCAAAGAAGCTGTAAATCTGAAAACAGACTGCATCTGATGCGAAATACATCTTTTTTTTTTATATGCATCGACTTGTATGTACATATTTGTAAGAGCACGCTGCAGGTTTCTGTGGCCTTTGGTAGAATCAGAGATGTGATGCCACTTTTATAAAAAACAAACAAATTTCCTGTGATGAGAGATTAAACATATAGAGAGAAATATTCCAAAAAAAAAAACACCTTAATGACTTGATTTTTTTTTTTTACATTTGTTCGATAGTGTCACAGACTTTCCTGCATTTGAAAAATAAATCTTAAACTGCTCGCTACTTGTGGAGGAGGTGGTTTTGTGTTTTTTTTTTTTCCCTTCCAAGATGTGCGCCAAGTGGGTTGTAGTTGGTTTGGAAACTTTGACCCAGCAATGTCTCATTATGTAAGTGGGTTGGTTAAACAATGCCCTCTCTTCTGCCACGGCTACACAGATAATGCGTTATAATTACAGTCACAATGAAAACATCTAACCGCCCTTTGATAAGACGGTGTCAGGAGAGAGACGCAGGCGATGCAGGGGATAGGAGGGGGAGGTGACATGCAGCAAATGAGCTGGGAATCTGCTCCAAATGGTGTATATGTGCCCAAACCACTTGTACATTCAGTCAAGTGTAAAAGTTGAGGCCCTCGTATTTTAAAGTTAAAGGTCACTGTGGCCTCACAAAAAAAAAAAAAAACACTAGCTCAAAAATTCATAAGCTAATGACAAAAAAATTGAAACAAATCTTTTCCATTTGTTTCTGCTCTTTTGGGGCTGGGTCACATGGCAGCAGGATGAGCCCCAGAAATGCTTTCCAGCTGGAGGATCCCGAGGCGTTCTCAGGCCAGATGAGATACATAATCCCTCCAGTAAGTTCTGGGTTTTGTACATGCCTGGAAAATCTTCATAGGAAGGCAGAATCCTAATCAGATGCCTGAACTACCTCTTCTGGCTCCTTTCAATGTGAAGGAGTGGCAACTCTAGTCCGAGCTCCCTCTGGATGTCTGAGCCACCCAAGGGGGGGAAACCCATTACAGCCACTTGTATCTCATTCTTTGTGTCACTTCCCAGAGCTCGTGACTATACGTGACAGTCGGAACGTAAGTCGACTGGCAAATCAAGAGCCTTGGCTTCCAGCACAGTTCCACGATGCTGAGGTACAACACCTGCATTCATCCATCTGTCCATCGCCAGCTTCATTTTCCCGTAACTCCTGTACAACTAACCTTCAACCAAGTTTCCAGCAGAAAACTTTATAATGTGTAAGATGATAAAATGATGACGTGATGGCATTTTATGTGTTATGTTGTTATATCATATCTGATCCCATAGTATCCTACAGCAATGCTTTTATGGCCGTTATTCAACACTCAGAAACAAAAGGAAGATGGATGTAAAAGGCAACTTTAAGCATTTTTTTCACACTCGTCTGTGGCGTTGAGGAACATCGCTAAGCTCAAGATGTGACCGTCTTCCACAAGGGTATAGCAAACCTTGCACGTTGGTGGACCGAATGCTTTAGAATTAAAGTAGACGCAGTTGAAAAGTAACACAAGAACTATCTGTCTTTTGTGACGTTTTCTGGTGAGGCAGAGTATTGGAAATTCAAAGTGGTTTAGCCTTCGAAAAGCTTCAAGTTCTGATTGTTATTAAGGACTGTACAGAATCTGGATGAACTTTGTCACACTACTTTTCTTTTTCACTTGCATTGTTCCATGGTGTTGCTTGTACACTGTTATTTAGATTTATATCGTTAGATTTTAAACCCATGATGCCTCATTAAATTGTAAACTATGAGACAATTTGGTAAGCAATACACAGACAAAGGTATTTTGTATAATCCACAAACTATAGATGTTTAACCAAGAGACTGGAGACAAAATACATTTTCAAAAACAAACAAAAACACCCCATGGACTTCAGGCTTTTAGTGGTTCTCCTCATACATGAACACGTGAAGCGCAGCACCTCAGCTGTGAGGATCCAAATAAGTAAGCAATGCAATATGAAAAGATCAATATGATGATTTTGGTAAACGTTCAGTCCAGTGTAAATGATCTGACTCACAGAAATACTTTTCAAATACTGATACTGAGATAAATACTACATATTTTCTCTTTAAATAAGATAACTTCAATTAAAATCTTCATTAACGTCTTGCACTAACCTTCAATTTTTATTTTATTTTTATATTTTGTCTTCGATTCTATTTTAAACGTATCTATACCTACTAGAAGTGTTGGCAGGAACTGTGGCAGGCTTAAACGTTAACATTACTGCAGTTTTCGGGGCAATTTTTTTCAATTCAATTTTATTTGTATAGCGCATATTTACAACAGCAAGTCATCTTATCGCGCTTAACAAAGGCAGAGACAGAAACACCCAACAATCCAAAACATTTGGATTCCCTATAAGCTTCAGCAGTCCGCAAGCAGTGTGCAACAGTGGGAAGGAAGATACAACAGATACTATCTAGTGCACTGTGATACATTTATGGCCTATTACACTGGTGACTGCAGGTCAGGGCAGAGGAGTGATGATACATTTCGGGAAGTTATGCAATATCCATCATATGTAATGAAGGAGGAAATTTAGGGAGTAAGTGCAGACTCTTTTTTTTTTCTTTCTTTTTTTAAATTTGGTTGCCCTGTTGTGATTTTTCTTGATTTTCTTGCATTTTTCTGCCTTTTTTGTAAATATGTAGTTTGCATTTTCATACATGTGCAACCAGAGGGGTTTCTGTTTTATTTGACCTTTGCTGAGCTGGAAATATTTGGTGAACAAGAAAAAAAAAAAAGCATAGTTAATGTTAATTACGGGCTGCTACGGGTGGCTTGGTGGTTAGCACGGTTGCCTCGCAGCAAGAAGGTCGCTGGTTCACGTCCCGATGAGGACACCCGGCACGATTTCTCTTTCTTTTTGCAAACTTTTTTTTCTATTACATTTCCAAACAGACACTATAATGGCAGGATCTTCTATTCGAAGAGTCGGGTCGCTTCAATTAAGATTTTAAATGAGTCTAAATCTAATAGAAAGGGGGAAAAGCAGAAAGAAACAAAGATTAAGTGGATTTAAAGTTTAAGTATCCTTGGTCACCTATAGGGCTGCAAGATGGTTGGCACTGTTGCCTCTCAGTAAGATGGTTGCCGGTTCGAGTCCCGGTGAGGACACCCGGGATCTTTCTGCGTGGAGTTTGCATGTTCTCCCCGTGCAGCGTGGGTTCTTTCCGGGTTGTCCGGCTTCCTCCCACACAGTCCAAAAACATGTTGAGGTTAATTGGTGATTGAATGTGAGTGTGCTTGGTTGTCTGTCTCTAAGTGTAGCCCTGTGATAGACTGGTGACCTGTCCAGGGTGTCCCCTGCCTTCACCCTAAGTCAGATGGGATAGACTCCAACCCCCTGTGACCCTAGTGAGGAGTAGGCGGTGTTTAGATAATGGATGGATGGATGTTAGTTACACAAGCAAAACCTACTAAAAAATGAGAAAAAGAAGTGAAAGCATAAAATGCAACGAAAGCAGAAAGTTGCAATTAGTGTATTTACATGAACATCAGTTGAAACAGGAGTCTGAAAGGCCTTTTATCTGATGCAAGAAATGCACAAACTCCAAATCTGTTCTTATGTTAGAAACCAGATATGATAACCACAATGAATAATCCTTTGTATTATGAGTGCCTAGCCAAAGACTTTTACTGCTGGAATTAAAGTTTATTTAAATTAACTTGTACATTCATTAAAATTGTATAGAATTTGTGAAGGTTAATTCTAAAAATTGCCTTGCTTTTGTTTCTCCTTTTCATTATTTTATGAATCTTTAAACACAGTATTTTAATGATTCTTTATACAGTAATTTAAGTTTATATATCTCTGCTTCTAGTGCGTATGTATAAACTACGGTAACTCCACTCGAATAACAGTGTGTGCGTCACTGCCAGTGATATCCAGTTATTGCTGTTGTAAAAATCCCTGTCTCCGTGACCATGTAGCCTCCTTCCAGTAAGACGACGAGGTTCGTGTCAGAGAGCGTCGCATAAAATTTCCCTCGCCATCTAAGAGGCAGTAAAAAGTCCAAAGATCAGGGAGGAGCAAACAGGAACAAAAAGGATTGAAAGGGCAGCACTCGCTGTCAGTCTACTCCACCAGCACACCTGCAGCACTGCTCCACCAGACAAGAGGTAGGACACGATAAACTCCTGTGATATGACACATGCAATGTGATGCCCTGTGTGCATCTATAGGACAGGCCTGTGTGATGTAATTCAGTTTAGAACAGCTTATTTCAATGTATGCATGTATGTTTTACACATGTTTATGTGTAATAAGCTTGTTTTGGCAGTTGTTGATTGATGTACAGTTAAATAAAAATGACTGTAGAGAAAACAGTGATATCCTTTACAAGTGAATCACATGTAAATGGTTGCTTGGAATTTATATCAGTATCATATCGTTAGCCTCATAGCATACTTGCCTAAGTCATATTTTCATGTTTTTGGGAAATGGGAAAAAACAAAATTTTTAGAAATGACATTGGTATTTATTATTGATTTTTTAACAGTACATTCAACCAGATGTGATTGGCCAATGACAGAGGTAGAAAGACAGGATGATGCAGAAGTGATAGGAGAGTAAAGTTAGGCAAATATCTCAATTTGACCAAAAAATGACTTAGGCAATTATGCTATGAGGCTAACGATATTTAACATGTCTCTCACATGTTTTGGCTTTTCTAGTCTATCTATCTATCTATCTTTGATTTTTCTAAATAATTTCAAAATTTAGAAAAATCCAAAACATATCTTTCTATCTATCTATCTATCTATCTATCTATCTATCTATCTATCTATCTATCTATCTATCTATCTATCTATCTATCTATCTATCTATCTAT